TCGGACTTTCAAGAAGATTTACACTTTGCAGAACGTTTCGATGCCCGCTTGCTGGGTTTTCGCTGGCCGATTCGCGCCGCGGGCCTTTTTTAACGTTTCTGTTTCAGTAAACAAATCTAAACCTTCTTCTAAACCCTAAAAACATAGCCTTTTGGCGCCGTCACACCAACTTGTACGAACAGCCAGTTAGAGATTCTGCTCTCCCTTCCGCGCAAACCCCGAAGGAATCGGACAGAGAACGGGGAAATCCAGAGTAGGATGATCAAAGGAGACATAGCAATAGGCAACAAGGACAGCCTTACGACCCCAGATTGATAATCATGACGGACCGTTCCAAAGGTTTGGTTGGGTCGCATTATTCTGGGGCCCCACGCGATGGCGCCCTAGGTTCTACGGAGTACTTTCCGGTTATAATGATTGTTCGGAACCAAGACAACCAGCGTGGTATTGGTAACGGCGCCTAGTCTCTGTGTACTATCGCTCACGTGCAAGGAAGTTACATAGCAAGCGCAGACGTTCGTGCATGCATTTAGGTACTCTAGCGTGATGCCATGGCCGATCGTGAGATGGACAACGACATAGGGATTTGGAAATAATGTTATGCTTGATTGTACGTCTTTTCAGGTTGGTTCGTCGAGGAAAAATGCTGACTCTTTGGTCAGCCTATCCTGACTGTATATGTGTATCGGTCTCATGAGAGCTGTTGAATATGCCGCGTGTCATGGAACATGCTACAGACAGGAATGCGAAGTCGCGCGTCCAATTTGAGAGGTTAAACGTCAACATGAGCGGCACTGATTCAGACATGTCTCAAGATCTTCCATTCGGACGACTCTGGCTCCTAACGTTCGGCCACTAATTGACCCCATTAGTGCCTTCACGAGCAACTCTGCAAATGAGGAAGCTTCAAGGAAGAGAAGTCGGTAGTTGCGGGCTCTCGATGCTACTCCTGGCACTCATCTGCGATGGTTACGAATATTTCGTTGAACATCATGCCGGGACTCTCCAGACCTGGCGAAGTACGTGGCAAAGAGTCTTTAGTAAGGTGCATACTGCTCCGTGGCCTAGATCTTACGTGACATAATCTGGCACTTCCTCGCTTCCAGCAAGCCCGAACTACCGTAGCAGTTTTACAGGTGGACTTCAATAATCTTTTGCCAGTTCTGACGACGGCTCTTAAAGTGACCGAGAATGTGTCCAGAGAACCCATGCGTAGCCTCTAGTTCTAATGCTGGGTAAGCACTTGCAGTTACACCTACCTAACAGCGGCATCAGTGGTTCTTCGCATCAGACTCGGATATAGTTTGTTTAAATCACAATCCACTCAAGTTGCCGAGACATGCAAGCGCCACCAGTGTATTCTGCGGTCTGGCGACAGCTAGGCATGCATTGACTCACATCAAGACCTAGCAGAACCCATGAACCTCCCACGGAGAAGGAGACCGAAATCGCCGAATTTGAAACCGAGGCGTCGTCTCTCCTGACTAGGATCACCTAATTTACATTTTCCGAGGCTTGACACAAGCAGAACAATGCAATGGTCATCAGCTCCCCCCGCCATGTTTTGTGGTTTCACTCAACTTTTCATGGCCTAGTGTTACTACGAGTCTTTGTGCGGATGAAGAGGCGGCTAAGCCGGCACTTGAGTTGCTTGTTTAGTCTTTCCCCGAGTAGAAGCCTCGTGATCCCACGAGCGATATACCCATGCACTGACTTGCTTATGGACGATTGGTTCCGCTTACACTGGGACGATTGGTCTTTAGTCCAAAAAGGCAGGGGCTTCTCCAAAAGGGAAATGGCCTAATCAACTTCAGATGGCACTAAGATCAAGTCGGCAAGCTTTGGTAGAAATGCGGCCAGTTGTGACACTGGCAAGGACCTTTGGTAGGGTTAACCTGGATAATGGGAATATTCTCATTGGTGGACGCGAAAGAGTTAAGTAAGTCGAATCCAACCTCGAACTGCAACGAGCACATATCTCCGTCGTGGAGAATTGTGTTCTCCATGAACCCACGACACAGAGCACTTCACAGGGCAGGCGAATACTACCGGATTCACAATGGAATTATATAACTGGAATACGACAAAGTGTGACGATGTGGTGTGGCTCGTTCGCTCAAGTTTGCGGAAATACATAAATATCTGCAATGTTTTCTGAGAATTGGTAAAAGTGACATCTCGATCGATCAAGCCCATAACTCTCGGTTGTCATCGAAGTTCAAACCTAAGATACCCAAGATGATCTCTGGAACTTTCAAGGCAGCGATAATCGCGGCAATCGTTGGCGCTTTGGTCGCAGTAGATACTTGGGGTGGCTCCATATCCCTTGGCCCAACAACCTCAACCATCATCAAGGCCGTGACAACAATTATCCCTGGCACCGCACCTCCCACACAAAACGGAGTGCTGGCCCTGTGGCCAGGTATGTCGAATGGCACCGGCGATCTCGTCCAAACTACCCTCGAATCTTGGCCGGACAACTCTTGGTGTGGCGCCAAAAAGGGACAGTGGTGCGTCCGGGCCTCACTTTTCGGTTCCTTTGGGCAACTCAGCGGCGATGCTTCTGCCGTATCGGGCACCCAGAAAGTCAAGATCGAATATGAACTCCTCTCGGATAACGATACCTGGCGCCAGACCGTCACCGATGCCGACACCGGTGCAAAACTCAGCTCGTTTGAGCACAAGTCTGGCCCCTTTATGAGAGGCTACGGGACTGGGACTGAGTGCAACGCCGACTGCAGTCCTACTATTGCTTCACAAAAGTATATAGATACTGTCATCACTCTTGCAGGCCCCGACACTGGTTTTGGGAAGACAGTTGCCACCGCTCAGAAGGCCACATATTCCGGTCTCTCGAGCAGCCAGAATGGAAAGGTTTGGACTATCAAGGAGATCAATGTCCCTGCGATGGTATGAGAAAACCAAAGTATACATGTACAGTGCAGAGCATGAGAAGGCTTCAATTGACTTTTTTCTTTGTAGATAATTATGACCTGAAATTGCGGTGTAAATAGCAACTCTGAATGTTCAGTCCACAGTACACAACTTTCCTTCGAGTGACTTTCCATGTATGTGTGTGAAATCATAGAAGAGGAGATGGTGAGTCTCGAAGCGTCCAAACGTCTGTCATCTGCTTTGTGACAGAAAGATTTTCACTGTAAATCGACGGCTCGTCAGGGCGGTGTTTGCAGCCTCCATCGCGTACCAACCAAACGGGCCTCGACCGGACTGAATAGGGGTATCTGTCACCACAGGCCACGGCGGAAAACTCATTTCCCACCGAATCCAAGTATCCTGCGAGATCGTTTCTAAGCCGAGTCGTTCCAAGTAGTCATACTTTCTAAAGAGAGCGAGTCACAAAAGTAGACGCCATTGAATCTAGATCTTGCCATGATCAGATTTCATCAACACCGCGAGGCGTGGAAAGTTCAAGCTAGTGATGCAACGCCATCAATTGACCAAAATCACCACCAAATAGTCTTTTTTTTTCGGACCTTCGAAAATGACCAAAAGAAAAGGAACGTGGGAAAACAGGAAGCGGCTCCGTCCAGACGTTTGCGCCGTCGGACGTTGGACGTAGAACGATGATCCACTGCTACTGATTCGAAGTTTTGCTTTTCTGTTAACTACAACCAATGCCTAATTGACAATATCCTGTTTGGTTTTCCTTGCCGTGAGAGTTGATCTAGCTCGGTAGGCGTATCTCGCTAGGGGAGACAGGCTCAAGTCACCCGACACCGGCAGAGGCGGCCCTTTTCCCCCCTCTGCATGATCCCGAAGAGTCCACAGTTCCAGTCGGTTTTCCCCATCTGCGTCGGATACTGCAGTGATCTAATCTCATCTCGATTTGGATCGAAACCATCTGGGTTGACGAGATCTTCTGCACATTAATTAGTAAATTCTACTATGGGAGGATTGCGTCTTCCGCCCAGCTCACTGGAACGGCAGCTTCCCGCCAACCATCAGTGTCTAATCTTTCTCACAGGCATATCTGTAAACATTCCCTGGGTCATTGGAATTTTGAGACATGAATCCTGGGATTTTCTGCGTCAACCCGTGAGTACGACCTCGCCCCCACGGGTTCCGACTTATGACAGGCCTCAAAACCCATGCGGCGGAGGTTTCTTTCTGGGCGGGCCATCTCTCACCAGGTTGAGACGACCAGCCGTTCCTGCGAGTATGGTGCGAACAAGTGTCACGCAGATCTTGGCCCCGGGCGTGCCCCTTTTTCATCGTCTTTCTCAGTTGAGATTAGTGCGCCTGGGCTGGGACGTCCCGTAGCAACATGTCCAACACCCATGTCAATCGTCAACCTTGTCAGTCACGTAGTGTATGCAGACTGCAGCGCACGTCACCAAAGCATGTAGGTATTGCAGAATGTCACTACTGACAGCCGGGCAGACAGTCCGGTTTGACGGCCTATGAGAGAGGATAGTGTTTGAAGATGGGCAGAAATTCAAAGTTTGAGGAAACGTGCGAGAACAGGGGACCAACGGTGCGTCCGTAAGGCATGCAAGTCGTCATTTCTTCTTTTTCTCCATTCCATGAGATGCTGGCCATGCATGTGTATGTATACTGTGTAGACTATGCAAGAATACATGCGAGTTCAAGAACCCGCATGCTTAACAGCTCATGTATTCTGCAGAGCGTAGACACACGACCGGTGAGCTGTACATGAACACCTCCATGAAGACAGAAGGAGGGGTCCCCGTCTGCTCACCGATGGCCTCAATTGCAATTCATTTTTGAACATCTTCAGTGAGAACCAAGATGTTTCCTTCTGCATGTAGACATAGACAGACTGTTGTCCAGTTTCCATCCGGCAACACTGTCGCAATGGCAACGGATCCCGTTTTCTCAATACTTACGCAAGGTCAACATCATTGATGTTTTTTGGTTTAGCTTCCGACTCAACATATCAAACCGCAAAATGAGAGTCATCTCGATTGTATTCCAGAAGTCGAACTTTCATCCTGATTTAGTGAGCTGTCACTTACCCCTCATCTAGAGATGGGGTCTTTTCCCGTCTTAACATACGCTTCGGCCGTTTCGATATAGGGTGTTTTGCTTACCTACACGCCTGCATGAAATCAGGATGACATGCATGGACGCCACTCAACGACAGATCTATTCAGCACTTGAAGCCCCACGCATTCTGAGTCCTGCAAGCCCCTTCTGCACGCTCCCTTGTAGACAGATTCGGTCCAAGCTAAGTGGGGATGGCTGGATGACCAGACGTGGTCCGGGACCAATACCATATTGCCGGTATGCAGCATGCTGAGAAGGGAACCGCTGACTGCCATATCAGCCCTGTCATGTCGCCGGGAAAGGGAGGTTCATGGGCCGCTATCCACGAGGTCTCTGAGTCCGAGGAGAGTCGAGTTGGCGATGCTGCTTTCGTTATCTCCCACGTGGACATACTGCTGTGCCGTCCTTCTCTCATGTCGCAATGTTGCTTCAGTTGTTGGCTGTGCTTCTTCTCGCTTTCTCACCTCCTTCTTCTTTCGGCACGCAAGAAATTTGCAGGGAAACCATCCGACGTGACGTGGCAAGCCAGGTTACCAGGTGAATACCAGGTGCTCTGCCGCAATCTCCACTCTCCACAGTCGATGATCTAGATCACGGTATGCACCACCCAGACCTCACAGCCACACACCTTAGTAGAAAGACTCACACCAAGACCATGCTCGTGTTGTGCTTCTCTGCGTAGCCCAGATTGAACCAGATCCAGCTCCAGACCTTAACGTGAACCTCAATCTGTCGAAGCTCACTCGTTGAGGAGGTACGAGCAAAGATTGTCTCTACATGAGCCCGGTTGACTCCCGAGCCAGGGCCCAAAGGGCCGGGATCAGTACGCCGGCATCGAGAAGCAAGGGTGCCAGTCTGCCAACCGCATGCGCAGCCGACAGGCCGTTGTAATAGTCAAACGCCTTCAGCCAAAACGCCACCCTGAACGGCAGTAAATCCGCGACCTTCTTCTCGGTCCAGAATCCTGTGACTCCCTTGTCCAAGTAAACACTCGCCGAAATGGTACCTACCCCCCAGCCGTGGGAAAGCACCTGGGATCGTGGCGTTTTCCACGGGGGCGATCCTACATGGATACCAGCCAGGGTACAAGTGTTGATGCGCAAGTCGCTACCCGGGAGCAAAGGCGGTACCAAATTGTTGACGATGAAAGTGGTACTTCGCAACATGGTGATGCGCCATCGAGCCCTATTGGATGCAATCCAAGCCATCCGTCTGCAGATGAGCACACGGGCTGTCCTCATCCCTGAGCCCACGCAGAAATATAACACATCCCGCCATCCACACGCCGAAGATGTACCCGGGCCGTAGGCACCGCCCGAGAAGTACGATGATACCCTGCAGTTTGGTGGGGGACACTTCGAAGGAGGCCGAATTCTGACAGATCTGAATGGGGCCTAGTAGAATGAAGGAGGGTGTTCTTGACGTTCCATACCTATATGGGATGCCCGTGGCTGTATGATCATCAGTGTTGACGGGGACGGCTCAGAAGCCGGCGTAGACAAATAAAGCGGCTTCGGATACGCACGATACCCAAAAGGTAAAGGAGACCTCATGTATGAGGCTCTTCTGGGTGAGATACTCGAGGGAGAACGGGATAATCAGTAGTCGAGAGCACATTCAACATCCCGTAGCATCTTGAATGAAACCAAACCCTGTGTATGCGGGAGGGACAGTCGAAATTCGACTTCGTACTTGAAGAGGCCTTCCTCCCGTCAAACTGACGATGGCGTGAGCTTGTGTCAATAGTCAATCACTCTTCTTACATCATTATTACCCCAACAATCAGTACTCGTCACATTGACTGTTTCCCTTCATCGAATACACCTCGCCTCGTAACCATTAATGTTTATTGCTTCACAAGCCATCGTCCTTATTTCGTGTCTCCGGAGCTCGAGCCTCATCCTCCCAATTATCCTCCCGATATCTGCCACGAGTGACTGAGCACTTCAAACCGTCTGCTCATTGGCCATCGGCATCAAAGAGCCAAAACATTCTCCTCTCTTGACGGCCAGCCACGAGAGAGAACTGGTTCATCTCGCCACCGCTCCCGCTGGTATCCGTGGATTATCCCCCATACCGCTCTTATCCCGTCGAAGCGAACGCCATATTCTGTTTTTGTAGGCATCCGTGGACACACCTAACGGGATCCCACGCTTCCATCTTGCATCAACCGCTCTAAAATTCATCATTGACCGCCGAAACCAGCCACCCACAACCTTATCCATCCTTCAACGCACAGCCGGAAGACGACATCGTTGCATGCGAGGTGGGAAACCCACACAGAAGACACAACGATAGAACCTCAGCAGAAGGAGCGGTGAGACGTTCGGCTCCCTTTCAGCTTCGCTTCCTCGTCCAACCCCGACGGCCTCTGTCTGACGGGCAGTCCCTTTCGTTCAAGATGTTTAAGGTCGCTGCCCCTTGGGGCTTCCATGGCTCGGACATCTTAGCCTTTGAGCAGGAGATGAAAGTAAGGGCACAGCAACGCTCCAACATTCGACGCCAGAGGAAACTGTTCGCACGCAACACCCACAAGAATTCTTTCAGCTTCAGATCCACTCAACAACCGGGCGCCATGTCGAGTGAGGATTGGTCTTTGGCCGTCATTCCAGAGGGTACCCAAGACAGCTTTGAGGTACGTTGGCTTTTAGTTTTCTCTTCTTTTCACCTCTTCTCCTGTTTGCTTAGCACTCTTCAACATCATCATAATCACCATGTGAGATGTGATCAAGAACATTGCTGACTTTCATACTCTTGCCTCAGGCTCAGCAGCTTCGAAACAGATACCTAGCTGGCACCGCTGGCAGCCCGTACGCTGACCCTGATCATGGCATATTCTTTGCCAGAATTCAACGGCTCGACGGTTCTTTGAATGGTAGACGACAAGTCATGGATCAAAGTCAAACATGGCAGCCCTTTGGGGTGACCGACACGACTGACGTCCAGTCAATGTTCGCTCCGATGCCGTATCAATACGACGTTTCGTCTATTGATGGTATTCCAATGTCGACTTCCAACACTTTATGCCATGGCATATCTACATCTTCTCCAGTCTTCACGGCATCGGACCCAGGCACTAGCTTTGGCAGCTTCTCTTCTGCTGGTGCTCCTCCCACCTTGCTCGACTCCTCTTCCTTCAACTCGACAGACGGCAGCGTCATCATCACCAGTCCTTCAGACCAGTTTGAGTATGCCAATTCGCCCTTTGCCTCTTCATCCATGGTACCTGAGGATTTCAACGGCATCAAGGCAGCGCCCCAATCACCGCCTCCATTCTCCGAGCCAAACTCCATCCTCTTCTTTCCTACTCCACAGGAGCAGCTCCTCGAGCACCAGCAACAGATGGAGAGCCAACAGGCGGCAATAAGCAGCCATGCCAGCTTCAGAGGGGTCAAAGCCGAGCCACCAGCCCAACAGGTCTTGATGTCCAGGCCTAGAAAGGAGCTCCCCGAGAAGCCGCGCTCATCGCGAGTCGATAACAGCACTTCCTCCTCCTCACGTCGCAGGGCTTCTCCAACTCGTAAGCCTGTCCCCTCTACGCACAAGACTGAGCTCCGGCCAAAGCAGCCCAAGCCCTGTCCGGCACAGGCTTCCACACTTGACCTCGCAGAGCGGTCGGCCAAGGACGAATACCTTCTCAAGGCCAAGCAAGAAGGCCTGACGTACCGCGAAATCCGGGTCAAGGGAAACTTCAGCGAGGCTGAGTCGACTCTTCGTGGACGTTATCGCACTCTCACCAAAAGCAAGGAGGCACGGGTTCGTAAGCCTGAGTGGACCGATAAGGACGTGAGTAATTGCCCTGCCCTGCTTCCCCATGCTGATTACTTTTCCTTGGCATCCAGCTGACTTATACTTTGTAGGTCCACCTGCTCCAGAGAGCCGTCCGCAAGTTTGCCAAGGGTAGCGATCCCGCTTCCACCAAGATCCCCTGGAAGCAAGTCGCCGAATACATTCAAAGGAACGGTGGCTCCTATCTCTTTGGCAACGCCACTTGCCGGAAGAAATGGGACGAACTGGTTATGGTTGCTTCGGGGCACCAGATAGGTGCATACGGCGCGATGGCGTGACGGAGTTGATTGCATTGAATGTGTGGGTATAGTCTGAGAAGGCACGGGACGATGCGATCGGTTCTGATTCTTGGGGCATCGATGTGATGTGGACAGCGGAATAGTAATTTTTGACAAGTGACATGTCGATTGATGGTAGACCATCGGTGATTGTATTCGTATGGAGATCTCGGTATGGAGTGGGATGCGGCTGACTTATCATGTTTGCTTTTCATTAGTTAGAGTCCTGCCGCTGGGTCAATGTTTGCTTGCATCGCATCTGCAATGTGTGTTTGCCCCCTCCTCCTTTTCTCCATGGACGTGCATGATGTGTATGGTGCCTTCACAGCTTTTTAGGGTGGCCTCCGCCGCCGTCCTTGGGAACGCCGATTTTTGACAAAACTTCCAGTAATTGGATGCCGTCACCGTCGCCTCCTGACCTTAGCGCATCCCATTCGGCCTCATTTTTAACCAAAGCCGTTCCCGCCAAGACAGTGCCGTTGAGAGCGAGGTTTCCTACGGCCGTACCGTCCTTGAAGATGGCCGCGCCCTCGGCAAGTCGTGGCAGTACCGCCAGCCGGTCGCTCGTCATGGCAAGGTTGTAGCTGATGCGCGCGCTGCCATTCCCAGAGTCGTTCACAGCGCCGATGTGCGCCTCCACTGCATCAACCGCCGACTTGAAAAGTGATAGATAGATGCCGTGAAGTTCATCCGGGGTCATGTCTCGATGGATCGTCTCCGCAAAGGTCAAGAACGGCAGCCCGGATATGTGCTGCGGGCCAAGCTGTTTCGCCAGCACATTCCATCGCGCGCCGTCGGGTAAACCGTCCATCATCCGCGCCACCGGAAGCAGCTGAATGTGCCGATGAGGCTGACTTGCACCCGAGTGCGAGCCGCTGTTGAAGAAGGCATAGAGCTCGCCATCGTGTCCCTGGTGTTGTTGGCCGTACTGTCTGTAAGCCTCTATGCAAGAGTACGTTGCTGCCAGATCGTCGCGCTCCAGGAGATCGGTCTGTTGTTTGAACTCTTTAGTAGCTAGAATAAAGTGCTCAGGAACGATGGCGAACTTGTTCAGCACCAAGTTGTGGCCCGACGACGATGGGATCTCGGCGATGAACAGCGGGCCCTTCTCAGGACTCTCGAAGGGATCAAAAGGCTTGCGTGGCTCATCGGTCTTCTTGGGCTTCTGCGCGACCGGCTTGTTTGCCAAGGCGGGGGAGAAGCGAAGTTGAAACTGCGCGGAAGAGTTAATCGAGTTCCATTTGGCGTTCATGCGAGGGATATGTGATGCAATGCAGACAGACTCACCGGGGTTGAGTTGGCGTTGAGCACTGTGACCTGAGTTGCATAGTAGGTCAGGTCGCCGTTGGAGCGAGCTTTATTGAATGCTGCTTTGACAAGCTCCGGCAGATTTACCGGGGCCTTGATTGGAGACATTGGTCTATCTGGTACGGGCCAGAGAGACTGAGGAAGAGTGTGGTGCTGCTGCAATGTGGGAACTAAAGTGAAGAGAAAGAGGATGGAGGATGGAGGATGAGGTCACTTTGGGCATGGGACGGGGAGCTACGGGCACCCCAGGAACCCCACCTCGTGACCCCCACATTCACCTTCCTCACCTCCTTCACCGAACTTCTTGGCCTGCACCGAGGAGGTGGGAGCCACAAAGACAGGTTCACTCGAATAGATCGGCAATCTAGGAATAGATTACTGGGTGGTTGAACCTGTGTGATTCACTCCAGTTCTGAGAGCATTGCAATTCACTCGAACAGTGGGATGTCGATGACCCCGGCGAATCGAGAACAACATCAACAAAACTTTTTGAGTGGAATCAGATGGTCTGTTTTATATTATTGGGCCTAATGCCTGTCTTGGCCTGGTTTTCTTCTCCCCACGGACCTATATACCAGGCAGACCAACGACTTGTCGTATGGCAGGGATGAACCGAGGGAGGACATAGACGCCATACAGCGCAGTCAGAGCAGTAACAAGACCGGTGACCTGGATTGTATGTTAGCGAGGTTCTGCAAAAGTGCAATAGTCGGCACTGTACCTTTTCAAACCACGTGTGGAAATAGATGGCAGTCATGAGGAGCATCCAGGAGCTCAAGGCGATAATGGCA